TCAAGATTTTGCTAGGTTTTTGTCAATTTTTCTTCCAGATACATCGGAAAAATTTGAAAAAACAGTGAAAACGAGCGAAAAAAATTTTAAAAGTTTGAATTCGCGCGCTTTTACTCACCGGGCGGCCTAGAAAAAACCTCGTCCCTAAGGGCTTTCATCGTATTTTTCGATGCGTTTTTCTCGATGAAGGAATTTTTTTGAATTTTTTCTTTACTTTTATGTCAATCTACATGCATTTCTGCACATTTTGATGCAATAAAAAATTTCACCGTACACCACCTTTAAACAACGGATGATGAGATTTTTTAGAATGAGAGTGTGCATTTGTATCCCTTTTTTATATGTCATCGGCCGCCGCAGGTAGACCCGCGCCGGCTTCAAAATTAAGACCCATAAGTTCAATTTCTCTAGAGGCGCGTAAGAACCAAATTTTGAGACAATTTAAATTAAAAAACGAGTCACGTTACTGCCTGCTTGAAATCATTCCGAATATCTATCACAATTTTGGAACTGAAAAAAAACATTTTATAACTTTCGGATCATGGCAACCATAAACTTAGTTTTCTATTTCTTCAGTTTGGTTTATCTTGGGTCATAATTTCCTTTTCTAGTTGGAATCGGCCTGGAATTGTTTTCACAAAAAAAGGATATGTTTTCCTGTCTCTCTCTCTCTCTCTCTCTCTCTCTCTCTCTCTCTCTCTCTCAGGTTCCTATGACACCTCAAAAGAAAACATGTGACGTCTTCTCCTTTATTTCTTCGTGTCTCTTTTTTCGGTCTCCTAGGCAACAACTCTTTTTTCCTTTTCTTCATTTATATTTTTTCTGTTTCGTAACACTGACTTATTATTAGAATGAACGTTTTGACTAATCCAATAAGGGAGCTAATCGATATTTGAAACCGTTTTTTTCAAAGTATTCCTGCTAAAAGAATAAATTGATAATATCTTTGTTTTATAAATCCATACTAAAACTAGAAAAAGAAACCAAATATACAAACTTATTGGAACTGAAAAAAACCATTTTCAGCGAGTTTCTGTTTCAAATAGTTCAATAGTTCACAAACTTTTTCGGGATTTTTGTGCCCCAATATGTAGTGCACGCTCTCCCACAGAACATTTCCGAACTGCAAATTAATTTTTGATCTACAGAAAAAAGTTTGGCGCGATCACAATTGCAGGTCTAAAACCATAATTTCAGAATTTTTTATCTGATTTTGTGGAGTTCCAAGATGATTCAAATGATTCTTAAAAAATTAATTAGTGGTTATAGATTCATGTATGATCCTGTAGAGATAATAATTCAGGTTTTTTTGAGCGAGTTTTTTTCTGTAAACAACTTTCAAAAATGTCCATTTTTGACATTTTTT